TATATATACAAATAAACACACACATACATATATCTATATAGCATATGGCTAAAGACACATATGCGTACTTGTATCACGCGTACATAGATTCCCACGAAATCACCTTCATATGTCACGAGTATGTGGAAGCATACCAGTTCACATGCCACGTCTGTGACACCGGCAACTTTGTCGGCAAACTTGGTGGCTAGATCCTTTGAGAAAAGGGGCATGGTGTTCAAAATAAAATAAAGGTTGTGACGAAAATGAGGTATAGGTGTAAGCTAGCTTTAATTTATAGCACACGGGCCGACGATGGGTACAAATGGCGAATTTGTTAGCAGCAAGGTAATGTAGCCCTTAGTTTTTTTTGGTTAGAATTTTGCTATAGAAGACGAATTAAAAGTGAGTCATCAGTGAGTCACGCTCTTGGAATTCTGCCGTCTTGTCCTTGAGCACGCATGAGTGCATGACTCAGCACAAAGCCGTGAACATAGTCATACGATTAGTCGATTGCACGAATTGCCACAGAAATAGAACATATACCAACTCCTGACATACTCGGTTACTCCAGTCTCCAATCTCCTGTCTCCACTGACCACTCTCCCCAGTCTCCACTGACCACTCTCCCCAGTCTCCACTGACCACTCTCCCCAGTCTCCACTGACCACTCTCCCCAGTCTCCACTGACCACTCTCCCCAGTCTCCACTGACCACTCTCCTCACAGTCTCCATTGACCACTCTCCCAAGTCTCCACTGACCACTCTCCCCAGTCTCCAGGACTCCTGGCTCTGTGGCCTGTGGGAGCCAGGGACCTGGTGGCAGGTTGAGACTTGAGCTGTTGGGCAGTTGAGCTTACGTATGAGGTAGTTGGTATTTTGTTGTTGTTGATATTTCTCTGGTTTGTACCTATTTCTTTGAGGTGTTTATTTCGTTGCAATAATATTTTATTTCCCTTGCAATTGTATCGAGTCTATGTGATATGTAAATATCAACTTGCATCAAGGGTAAATACAATTTTTTAAAGATGCATGTCTTCAGATAAAAATTAATTCGACTTCGATTTCTTCCCCCCTTTCAGTTTTGAGGTTTCCAAGCATAGAACTCACTTACGTACGCTATGCAAGTGCCATGAGGTGCCAAGGCCCAATTGCCGGGTACCAGCCGCAATATTCCCTATTTCATCAAAATACCTCTCGAATTGAGGTGTTTATTTCTCACTCTATTTATATATAATATATAGTCAAATAGGGCCTCACCTGCAGGGGGGTAGATATTTTTATATAGCAAATAAGTTCCTTATTTATACGCGATCGCACCATATATACCTCGTCGCTCTTCAATTTTGGGAGTGTCAGAGTTTGGTTTTATTACATAGTCGGTCGTGTCAAGACTACATTCCCAGACCACAGACGTCAGGCCCACCGCCACGCTCCACATCCATCTAGTGTCTCAGTCAGCCAGCCAGAATCTCAGTATCTTATTCTCTCGTGTCTTTGTCACTTATCCCTGTACTCCAGTGCGCTCTGCTGAACTGCATGTTGCGAGTGTTTGTTGCCCCAATATAAACTCATTCAGGCGTTTACTGGTCAACCGACGCACCCTTCCTAGAGAGTCCCGGAAGTGAGACTGCAGAATTACTACATTGAATGTCAGCTTATTGGGGTATACAAACTCGTTCGGCATAGTAGATACCGGTACTCCCATCTCAAATTACATGTAGTTTTTACAAGCGTAAAAGTAGGTAAGTGACATCAAACAGTGCAGGTTTGTGATATATTTCTCCTTGCTCTCCCGTTTTGGCGAGTGTGCGTTACGTATAATAATATTTTTATCTTTCTGTTCCCAATGATATGCTAGTGACAAATTTTAACCATTCACTTGTCGATTCCCTGCAATTACACAAACATAAGCAAGCAAAAGTGCCAAATATAATAGTAGGCGGGCCGGTGATAAAGCGGGGACCTAGTCTTTTTTTGCGTGGCCACCAAATAGGCCAAAGACAACGCAGAGGTTCAAAAAGATATCACAGCATTGACATTAAACATTCCACGGAAGCATGTTAATTCTGTCGAAAATGACATACACACATAAAATGTATACCGAACGAATTGAATAGCTGTATCTGGTTTAATAAACAGAAGTCGCATTCATAAACACGGCATAGTGTGTTTGCATTCATCACGGTTCTGGAACCGGCTCCGATAATCAATCAGTCAGTAGGATGATTGAATCCAGAAGATATACTACTGTTTTCCAGCATAATACAACATTGGCATACACCACATACATATATAATCCACCGAACGACTAGCTGTAGCGTACTACGGATTCGACACAAGGCCACAGTGTCTAAGATTCAATTAAGTGATGCACCAGTAGAAGATCGCAACGATCATTTAAATATCTATGAGCACGTTTACAATAAGAACTCGCATAAACTCACGAGCCCTACAACTCATGGACCAAGAATACGCAATTAAGAAAATTTAAACTACACAATTATATACCACCCGTCTCATTCCTCAGCATTGAAAGGGCATCCTTTGCCATTTTACTACGCTGTTGCTTTCCACGAAATACAATCAGTTGCTATATATAAATCTTAGTTTAGAATCATACGTTTGGGTTGCTTTGCACTTCCTCACACTAAACACGAGGTTGCGAATATATTTTTCACAAATACTGTCAGAGGTTTTGACAGGTTTTTACTTTGTCTATCTTATAAGCTCGCATTTTTACTAATATTTGTATATCACTGCAAAAGCAAGCGGTTTCCAGTCGGTATAGTTCGACACATCCCAAGCGCTCTCCAGCGCTCTCCTTTCGCATATGTGAGCGTAAATCGCACCTCATTCGGCATCGGGTGCTCATGCTTGAGTGATTCAGTGCAGTGTCGCGTACGGTGATAGTATGCTGGCAGCCGAAGACTACCAGTACACTTTGTACAGACGAAAGAAGACCATGGATGCATTCTCGACTCTGCCCGCAACCATCTTTGCAAGCACACAAACGATGAAAACCTGTTTTGACGTTCCAAAGTTCCGACGTACTGTGGACAGAACACAAAGCGCTCACGCAAATGAACAGTCAACAGACGTTACACCCAATGCTAGCCAAATGGATAGCAAAAACGTTCCACCACTTCCGAAGTTCCGACGTTCCGAATATGTGCTCGTTTAAAGCATCCGCCTGCACCTTGGTGCGTCGGTGCGTCGCTGTTTGAGGACACAAGTCAGCGACTACGGTACTATTTGCCCGAGCGCGAGAACCCATTGTGTGGGGTGCGACTGTCATATACAGTCGTTTCTCTAACTCTCGTATTACTGTCCGACTACTCGTTCGTATGCGGTCATCCCAACTATACAATCAGATTATTGCTATAGCCTATGGCGCTGCAGGCGTGTCGCTTATCCATGTAATCTGTGCGTGTACATACTTCGATCGTTGGAGCAACCATGTACGGACGGTCCCCAAGAGAGGGACCTACCATCCGGTATTGGTACGCATGACTGCTGTGCCGGACCCGAAATCCTACACATGCGATACATGTGGCCTCCATAACTTGTGTAAATCCTGACGATTTCTCGAAGGCGAGTGCTCCAAACCAGAAATAGTGTCTGTTATAGGTGTGGCCGTGTGGGAGGACATGTGAAACGATCAAATGCTATACAAAAAGGGTCCATTTTAGGTTCTACCGTGTGGGGCAGATCATCTTAGTCATCGTCTCGCAAACTAACAATAGAGTCCCCTACAGGTGTGCCCGTGTGGAACACAGGATCATCAGAGCTAGTCATCGTGACCCGAACGTCTGCTGATTAGTTCCGTGACAGTCACTCCCTGATGGTGCAGTAGTTGAGCAGTGCCACAGCAATTCCCGAGGAAGTGGCAAGCGTAAGCGGTCTCACGAGAAGGTGAACCCTGCACGGTGAGATGTTAATTGTGTAAACGTGCGGGTGTAGGGGGCAAGTTGCGATCCAAGTGGGTGAATTAAGTATTTTGTATGTGATATGTGATACGAGAGTGATGATATAGTGAACTCGTAGCTGACCTGTTGCGAATCTATAAGGCGCTTTAAGTATAAAGTATTTTGTATGTGATATGTGATGCGAGAGTGATAGAAGACTTGTAGCTGACCTGCTGCGATGCTAAAAGGCGACTTAAGTATAAAGTATAAGGTATGTGGTAAGTGATGAGAGAGTGATAGTGAATTCGTGGCCGGTTATCAGTGACTAAATGCAGCACTCAGATGATGAATTATTAATTAGGCGGACGATTCGTGCTCATTGCACACACGTCGACTTGACCATTCAGCTAAGCTGAGATTGACTTTATCGCCACAAACTGTAGTTTTCTACGCCCAGAGGTGCATTTGAGTGGCCTATTCAGCTGTGCTGAGATTGACTTATATCGCCACAAACTGTAGTTTTCTACGCCCAGAGATGCATTTGAGTGGGAGAGTTGTAGCAAGGGTGCTGCTTGGCTTTGAGAAGTGTTGATTTATGTGTGTGATTCACGCAAAGCAATTGCTGATGACCGAATTGTCATTGCAGTCAGTGCACTATCGGTAGGCTCATTCCTCATGATGGGCAAACAACGGACAATAACGACTAAATGGGTATAAAAATAGGACAACACAATTGAACCAACTTCAGTACACTATCGGTACGCTCATTCCTCATGATGGGCAAACAACGGACTAAAACGCACCAAAATTTGTATAAAAATAGGACAACACAATTCAACTAAAAACTTTCAGTACACTATCGGTAGACTCATTCCTCATGATGGGCAAACAACGGACAATAACGGACCAAATGTTGTATAAAAATAGGACAACACATTTCAACTAAAAACTTACAGTACACTATCGGTAGGCTAATTCCTCATGATGGGTAAACATCGGACAATAACGCACTAAATGATGTATAAAATAGGACAACACAGTCTAACTAAAAACTTTCAGTACACTATCGGTAGGCTCATCCTCATGATGGG